ACTGGATGAGAGACTAGCTTGGGGCTAAAGCACCGAGTTATTCTCACGCTCAAGCCTCTACTTCGTGGACGACGTCTATGATCAAGCAGGTCTTCTGTCAACCAACTAGCTCAAGTCTTCGTTGCGGTTATCCTATTTCTATATGGATTACCAAGTCTATGATTTCCCCTGCCCTAATCTTTTGTGTGCCAACCCAAAAATGTTATGCTTCTACATTGAACCTAATAAAAGCAAGTAGAACCACAACATGCGTGGATTGGCACACAAGAGATTAGGGCATAGGATCACACAGACTTGTATTATTGATAGAAACAGGATAGACGCAGCAAAGACTAGATCTAGTTGGCTAACAGTAGACGTGTTTGATCCCATAACTGATCCATGAAACAAAGACTTTCGGAATAGTATAACAGACTCTGATCAACATTCTCATCACAAGGGTGAAGGGGGTGAAAGGATGAGAAAGCCTGAGTACAATTTAGAGAGTTATTATAAAATCCTCTCGAAAGAGCGCACCATACCACATTTAAATAAGCAAGTAAGAAATTGTTATAGTGAAGAGATAATATGAAGGTGTATGATAGATGTATAGCTCAGGGAAGATGAGATACCACAATTGTTTATAAGGCAATTGGCTAAATCATCGGATCACTTGTTCCTTTGAAGAGTTGTAGTCTGGTAGTAAGAATGGCAAGGCTTACTAAGGATGGAGAGCTAAACGTCTGAGAATGTACGTCAACTGTCGAACTAGAAATTATGCATATTATTGACTGCGGGCTAGGTGCGTTCGTCTAGTCTTCTTACCAATAGGACCAAGTTGCAAAAACAAGACAAAAACTCCTATATAACGAAAGGAGACTGCGACCACGCAAAAGTCCGCACCAATTTGGTGATCGTACCTTTATTTATTAAGTTAAAAGGTAACTTATAGAACAATGCTAGAGATAAATGTGGAGGTAGATTACGTCACTGAAGTGTGGCGAGTCGTAAAAAAGTACATGCTCCAAAAGACTACTTGTTTTAGGAGAGCAACTTTTTTAATTCCCCTGTTTGGTCCATGTCCCTAGTTTCAGTACCACCACCGATGCAGATACCGCTTATAAAGACTCGAGGAACCTACAAAATAAATTATTATAAAATGTTTTACCGTTCGAGCACCTGTTTTCCTTAAAAGTGCGTCCTGGACAGCCTGACAGTCAGGGTGCGCTGAGATATCTATTTCTTTGTACTGTTTTTCTTCGATTTCTTTACCTAAATACTTTGCTAGTACGTTTTTGGCAATTGCACAAAATGGACAATTGGGCTTGACAAATAATACAACTTTATTAGAGTTTATACAAGACTGGACAAAGTCATCCATCGCGGAGTTTTAGAAATTAAATATCCAGAGCGTATTAAATGCACGCAGTTAAGATTTCAGCTACATTATATCTAAGGCATAATATTATTTTTGATTATTAATGTGCTTATTAAAAATATCTATTTTGATGTATTCATAATACCAAGGAATTTTTTTATTTTGAAAATATTAAGCTCTTTAGGTTAACTGTACGACAAATAAAGAAATTTTATTATGTCTAATAATTCAATAACTTGCTAATCATATGTAAATTCTATTTACTATAATATATTAATCTGTGCATATTATGCATCTATTGAAACCAGAATAAAAAAATTAATTTATGCACTTTTATACGAAATTAATGTTCATGTAAGAAGACAGTGTCCATACTTTGGAGCAAACTCAAAGTATATTTGCATTAAAACAAAGACCTTTCCCATTTTCAATCTATTTGTGTGAGTCAGCCAATCTTTCTCATGATAAGTTCCTACACACTCGCATCAGAGCAGGTGTAGAAGGAAGAAGAATTGGTATACGAGATTGTGGCACTAATCTGAAGGGGCACTTGAAGGTGTATGCGGTTGACATCCAGGAGGCTATCTGTTAGGTTTAAGATATAACATTGTCAAGATGAAGGTCTTTGTGCAGTAGTTAAGAGACTTGTAGAAACCTTCCAGTGGCTCACCTCGAAATAAAATGTTGACGTCTGAAGAAATGTATAGAATAAATGCGGGATGATGCAGCTTGTAAAGGCGGCGTGTGGTGACGTAAGCTAACAGCCTCAATGGAGATAGGCCCGAGTCTAGTGTATATAAAAGGCTTTACAGTCTAATGAAATATGAGACACAATCGCTAACAGGAATATGGACTAATTAAAATCTGTGG